GAGGAAAAAAAATATAAATTAGTCATATTACCACCCTCCAAAGAATTATGCCACTTTTAAATTTTGTGTTTCTCCGTTATCTTTGAATTAAACGTGAGTGGTAGTTATTAAATATGTTGGTGCCAAAGTTTCACATCCTTTAAAAAACGAGGGCCTTGTTATATAGCACAATGACACCCTCATTACCTAGAGACCTTTTTTAAGAACAAAATTGTGCAGGCCTCAAGGGTCAAAATTGATAATACCTCTAGGAACCCACTTACCATGTGTGTCCAGATCCGGCTTTTGGGATACGTCTTTTCAGGACAAAACCATGCAGGCACATATAGGATTCACCAGAATTTAAAATGACTCAATTTGGATAAGAATAGATGCATTAAATCAGTTTCCAAAATACATGTTCTGCAGAAAATGAAAATTCCAAAACATCACAAGGCAACTTCAAAAATCCATATAAAATTCAATCCTTCGAGTTTTTACGTGAAATAAATTTCTAAACACTCCTTAAGAAGTCTACAACAACATATCCAAAATTCAGCTTCAAACAAAAACCCAAAACATACAGACAATTTTCGGAGTTCCAGATGGTCATATTTCTGTACAGTAAACCCTTACATAAAACATTTTTGTTTAGAAACAACCTCTATGTTCTACCCACGCCAAATTATTAAAATCAATCTCCCTTTTTAGTTTTGTTTTCATGAATTTATACCAAATCATAGACAAAACAATCCAAAGAGAGTTTTGAATCATAAATCACCAAAAAGAGGAAATATCAAGCTTTACTAACCTCCCATTTGATTGATCTTCCTCCACTCTCCGATCACCGGAGTTTTGTTCGCCAGCGGCCCCTTTTGTAGCCACCTCCGTCGGTCTCCTATCTCCTCTCTCCCTCTATTCTTGGTTTCATCTTTCTCTCCCTTTTTTTTTCTTCTTTTTTTTTTTCCTTCTTCCTCTCCTTCTCTTCTACTTCTTTCTCTCTTCTCTCTTTTCTTTCTTTTCTTTCTCTCCTTTTCTCTCTTTTCTTTTCTTCTTCTTCCCCATTTTTCTTTTCATTGAATGATCACTGTTCATCAAAATATCTGAAAAATTTCAATTTAGTCCTCATCATAAGTGGGGAATGGGTTAGTATGAAATAAAAGATTTCAATATACAATAAAAACACTCATGCTTATAAAATTTCATTTCCGTATACACATTTTATAATATAAGCCATCTTTCATAACACATGTTGAAATCTCTCATGGCAAGACTTCTTTCTGAACACTATTATGGTAAAAGAATAAATACTCATGTTTCTCTAAAACATCATTTCTAAGAAACAGTTCATATACGGATAACATTTACATTTATAAGTTCCCATTTTCAGATAAATGATATACATATCCAAACCATCTCTCAATCACATGTGAAAACTCTCACCCCACTAGTACCCTGGGGAAAATCTGTCATACCTGGTGGGCGTCCCACACGTAGGCAGAGCGAGGGACGTACCTGTCATACCCGGCAAGATCTATCATCGCGTGGGCAGAGCTACTGAAACTGTCATACCTGGCGGACCACTCAACGCCTAGGCAGAGCCAATAAAATCTGTCATACGCATGCGCAGAGCCAAAATCTGAAACTGTCATACTCAGGGGAATCCTGCATCGCTCAGGCAGAGCCAAAATCTGTATCTCTGGTGGATGGGTACTTCGTAGGGTGGTTTTAGCACCACAACAATCTCATGCATAATCTCAAGTAACATGTAAGTTAAGAGTATATTACGTATGTGCTTATAAATCATAAACAAATATCACTTTTAAAAGTCAAAACTCATAACACATTATAATTATAATTAAACCCAAAAGCAAAATAATAATAATAATAATATATGAATATTTCAAATAAGGATAAGACATGCCAACATGTGAGATTTCATGGAAAATAGGGGGTAAAATGCAAGTTTTTAGAATATACTTTCAAAACTAACGAAAAGCACCCCATTCCCTTTTTACCGAGAAAATTATTACTAGCCTCACAATCTCAGTCTTTTCTTTAACATTTTAACAGCCAAAATACCTTAACTCCCAGCATTTTAAAACACCATGGAAATCAATTTTCTCAAAGACAGTCCAACTGGAAGCATACAAGTGTATTTAACCAACCAACTTTTAGTCCAAATACATAACTCAAGCACCTCTCAAAATGCAGTCCAGTCGAGTGCATGCAACCCAAAATATCCAGCCACCATCATAGTTTATTGAAACAACCAAATGCATGCAAGTTTAATTAGCAAGCAAAGTTCATTCCCTTTAAAACTCAAAACAACCACTCTAGAATCTGTCCGAAAACATGCAAAGAAAAAAATAAACCAAGCAAGCTTCACATTTTGCTCAAACCTCATCAAAATACAAAAATGGCATACTAGAAAATAACATACAAGCATAGATCTGAAATTTTTAAGGAAAGTTTTTATTAAAACCACTCACCGTTTGAAGCTCGACCCTTAAGCCGAAAAATGATTGATGTTATGCCTCAAAAGTCAAGCCTATGTCAGCACAATTAATGTCTCTTTGTACCAGTTGCCAAGCCCGTATCTCCAAAGATATTCTCACAAACTTTATCTCATTTCAAAGAGATGAATGGACGAGAGTCTTCCATGTGTCAAGGCAGCTTGCAAAACACTCATTGCATGAGTGCAAATGTGAATAAATGGGCATTTCTCTTCCCGAAGAAGAGAGGCGAGAGGCGGGGTTGAGATTTGAACTTCATTTCATTCTCTCTCTCTGTAAAAACACTGTATTTCTTCATCTTTGTATGCCTTACGGGCAAAATCATAGAAATAGTGAGAGATCAATAAAATAACAATGGATGTAGGAGTCACTTGTTAAGCATCCGAACCACTATAAAAACCCCTCTTGCCAATCTTTTATTTATTTTTCTGCAAAATATATAATCTCAGTTCCATATTCAAATCTCATGGATCCATCACGTGTGTCTCCTGAGTCAGCTCAGCGTTTCCCACGTGCGAGTCGTTGGCGTCCAAAATCAAGCGTCAACAGTTTGGTGGCCCATGCAGGTCCGATTCCCGAACCTACATCCAAGTTCCTTGATGGCGTGCTCAGATCTCAAACTTGCGTCAGAATTCTCCAATCATATGGCCAGATCGCAGATCGCACATGTTAGAATTCTCCAATCGCGTGGCCAGATCGCACGCGTCAGAGTTCTCTGATCGCGTGGCCAGATCGTAGATCGCACGCGTTAGAATTCTTCGATTGTGTATCAGAATTCTCTAATCGCATGGCCAGATCACAGATCGCACGCATCAGAGTTCTCCGATCACGTGGCCAGATCGCAGATCGCACGCCCATGCTGTCATGATCCTCAGCTTCAGATCGCGGATCTTTAGCTTCAAATCGTGTGTTCAGATCGCTGATCACACGCTGAGATCACTGATCTCTTATGCTCTTAGTTAGAGCTCATCATGATCTCTCAGGTTGAGCTCGTTTTGACCTTTTCAGGTTGAGCTCGTTTTGACCTCTAAGATTGAGGTCGTTTTTCTCATCGAGTTCGTTTTGACCTCAGATTGAGGTCGTTTTGACCTCTTAGATTGAGGTCGTTTTGCTCATTGAGCTCGTTTTGACCTCTTAGATTGAGGTCGTTTTGACCTCTCAAGTCGAGGTCGTTTTGACCTTTCTAGGTCAAGCTCATTCTGACCTTTCAGGTCGAGGTCGATTTGACCTCTCAAGTTGAGGTCGTTTGATCTCTCAGGTTGAGGTCGTTTTGACCTCTTAGATTGAGGTCGTTTTGACCTCTCAGGTCGAGGTCATTTTGATCTCTCCGGTTGAGGTCGTTTTAACCTCTTAGATTGAGGTCGTTTTGCTCATTGAGCTTGTTTTGACCTCTCAGGTTGAGGTCGTTTTGACCTTTCCAGGTCGAGCTCGTTCTGACCTTTCAGGTCGAGGTCGTTTTGACCTCTAAAGTTGAGATCGTTTTGCTGATTGAGCTCGTTTTAACCTTAGGTTGAGGTTGTTTTTCTCATTGAGCTCGTTTTGACCTCTCAGGTCGAGGTCATTTTGCTCCAAAGTTGAGCTCGTTATGACCTTTAGGGTCGTTCCTACCAGATTTCTGGTCGTTTTCCTAACAGATTTTTGGTCGCTCCTAACAGATTTCAGTTTGAGCTCTTAACAGATTTCTGGTCGCTCCTAAGAGATTTCTGGTCGCTCTTAACAGATTTCTGGTCGTTTTCCTAACAGATTTCTGGTCGCTCCTAACAAATTTATGGTCGTTTTCCTAACAGATTTCTGGTCACTCCTAACAGATTTCTGATCGTCTTCCTAACAGATTTCAGTTCGAGCTCTTCAGTTCGAGACTGCAGCAATTCAGATCAAAGACTTAGTTTCTGAAGCGCGATTACGCACTTCAAAAACTGGGGGGCTTCTGTTATGCCTCAAAAGTCAAGCCTATGTCAGCACAATTAATGTCTCTTTGTACCAGCTGCCAAGCCCATATCTCCAAAGATATTCTTACCAATTTTATCTCATTTCAAAGAGATGAATGGATGAGAGCCTTCCATGTGTCAAGGCAACTTGCAAAACACTCATTACATTGAGTGTTTACGTGTATAAATGAGCACTCCTCTTCCCGAAGAAGGAGGCTGGGCTGAGATTTGAGCTTCATTTCATTCTCTCTCTGTAAACACTGTATTTCTTCATCTTTGTATGCCTTACGGGCAAAATCATAGAAATAGTCAGAGAGCAATAAAATAACAGTGGATGTAGGAGTCGCTTGTTAAGCATCCGAACCACTATAAAAACCCCTCTTGCCAATCTTTTATTTATTTTTCTGCAAAATATATAATCTCAGCTCCATATTCAAATCTCATGGATCCATCACGTGTGTCTCCTGAGTCAGCTCAGCGTTTCCCACGTGCGAGTCGTTGGCTTCCAAAATCAACCGTCAACAATTGAAATCTTCTAATAATGCCCCCTCTTGCCTCCCTATGTACAAAATTCAATAAATCCTCCATACATAAGTCCCCACATATTTCCCTTTTATGACAATAATCACTGAGAAAACTGTGTAACTATGAAAATAAAGAATGAGCAGAAAGAGTAATAAGAAGATGAGCTTCGATTCTTTTTTAATCAACTTCATATATAGATATGCTCGAAATAATACAGTTTATTTGATCCTTACAAATGCTTGACCCTCTAAAACATAAAAGAGAGGAAACAAATTACATTAACAAACGAAATAATAATAATAATAATTAATCGTTACAGCCCTCTAGCCAGCATCTGCTCGTAGTTCTCAATGGATTCAAGCCTTTGAATCAACAGTTGTTTCCTGAACTTCTTGATGAATGCCTCTGCACTTTCGTTTATGTCCATGGATGGCTTACCCTCTAGCTTACTTCTTGTGGTCGTCATTGTTGCTGCAGGTTTCTTCTCCACAACTTGGGGCCTCACACCTCCATTATTTTTATTCACTCTCAAATCACTTGTATCTACTTTCTCTTCCGCCACTGCGGAGCTGCAAAACGGATGAGGAGGTGGCGGCATCGAGCTAATATTATTCTTCATTGCAGATGGCTTCTCCTCTGGCCTGAAAAGGTTGACTGTAGCTTGGTTTCTTTTAGATGGTTTTTGCATTCTAGCTAGGGTAACATGGTTGTGTATTTATATAGGAGAAGAAATAATTGAAGTCGTATTATTTTAATGCATTATGGGGTGTGATTCCACGAGTCTTGTTGATTAGATAGCACTCCTCAAATCAAATCAAAGATAGCCACAAGATGAAATTAGATTCTTTCATTCTTAGCCAACGGATAAGCTTAATCTTTAGAGTCAAAACTCAAAAGCGTTTATGCTTTCTGGGTAGAGCTTGTTTTATTAGATTTATCTTTATTTTGTAATTCTCTATGCACAAGTAAGAGTAAACGACATGTTTCCACCCGAGGTTTACTTAAATCTCAAGTTGATACCATCAGTTGCATTTATTTTAAATTCTCATATTAAACTAATACTGTTAGTGACTGTTGAAGGTGGTAAAAAACGGTGAATGAGGTCGCTAAGTGAAGGTATTAGTTTTATAGAGGAGATTGTGGAGAGTCCAACGATAGTCTTGGAAGTGATTTTGGACTTCGGAATGGGCCAAGAAAAGCTAAAAATTGTCGGCTTAGATGCCGCTAACGTGAGCCTTTTTTGCTAACATGAGCCTTTCTTGGCCAAAGAAAGAGCTGGCATACTTTAATATGCTAACGTGCGTCTCACTACAGTGAAAAGTTGAGAATCTGTTAAAATAAAAGAAACGACGTTATTTTAAGGATGAAAATCTTGAATAAATGAAATCAGAAGTATCAACTTGAGATTTCGTTAAAACCTCGGGTGAGAATATATGGTTTGCTCGCACAAGCAATAACATAGTACTAAGTCAAAGGAAACAATCAAATAAAGGTAAAGTAAAACCAGGTTGGCCAAAATGACACAAAAAGGAAAGGCCGATTTGCTTAATGCGACAGTTTTTGACTTTGAAGAAGGCAAACCTAACCATAAAATTACCCACACGCAAGTGATTGATAGAGAAATGAATTGAAACGCGCGGCTGAAGAGAGGGTTAGGGCCGAAAGTTGGCAAATTAAGTCGGCATTGTTGGCGAGTCAAGCAGCAATAATGGCCAGCTTTCAATGCAAGGACAAAGTATACCACATGCAAAATAGTATAATATTATATGTTTGTTGAAATGTCATAAAGACAGGTATGGATTAGAGTTGGCATCTTTATATATACCAAACTAATACTCTGGGGTCATTCACACTTTCATCCTAATACTCTGGGGTATATAGCATTTACCTTTAATATTATGAGATACGAACAATTTAGTCTAGTTGGGTGAGCCTTTTCAATAAAAAATCTGTAATAGCCTAGTTTTATCCACATGTTATTAGAAATGAATAAATGTGAAAAAAAAGTAAATTATCGTATTTTACTAATTTATAATAAGTATTCATAACCATTATATCCAACTTTTTTTACTTTTTTTTTTTTTTTTTTTTTTTATAATACGTGAATAAGACAACATTTTGATCCCTGTTAATAACATTTTGATCTTAGAGATTTGCTACTGACGTCTGACAGGGATCAAAACGATAGTAAAATATTCTATAAGACTAACGGTACCTAAGTCAAACCTTAGGGACGAAATTGTTTTCTTTTTTCTCCAAAAAGGCAAAAAATGGTATTAAATTAGTACTTGCCCATGTTACGCTGAGTAGGCTAAACTAAAGAGTGGGCACAAAATTAGTTGAGCATCATGTTCGAGAATTATAAAATTGTTTTTGTTCACATTATGTTAAGAAAATGTAAAATAATTAATTGAATTGTGTTTAGTCAGTTTTTAAGGCAATAAACTGTGTCTAAACTTGATGTGGAAAGTGTAAATCGTTTGTAAAAATTGAAAATTCAAATTTATATTTAAGATTGAATGAATTGAACCAATTATAAATTTTCGTGATATATATTTTATAATAATTCATGTGATTGTTCTTCATAACATATTGAAAGTTAGGCTCTTTTCCAATTATCATCAATCCAACTAATTATATTCGGTTTTACAAAATCCATAATATATTTTTTATTTTTTGGATTGGATTTGGGTTTGATGCACAATAACCCTTCCATTTCATCTTAACTTAAATTTGAATAACTTTATGACTAATAATGAAAAATTAACAAAATAAATAAATAAACAATGTTAGATTATGAGTAGTAAGTTTTACTAAAAATTTGACAACTAATACAAGGAAATTTTTCTTTTTTCTTTTTGACAATCGAAATGTTCGGACCACCTTGCATACATCTCAACTAATCTCTGAGGTCCAACCCGATAGGCTTGGTGGGGCTCAAACGCATGATCTTTAGGTAACCCACCCAGATGGCTAGATTCTTGTCGTCCGACCACAAGTCTAGTGGTTAATGAATGTTTTTAGTTAAACATTTGGAAACATTAATAACTTTCTTATTCTCTAGACTTTAAAAAAAAAAAGCATAATTGTTATGGCTCCAAACAAGCATGCCAAATATCTGAGGAAGCTCCCTTTATTTTGAGCAATGTTCTAAAAATCAGACAAGACCGACTAGTCAGACCGGTTCGACCGTCGACCGAAGTCCTCTCAAGTCCAAATTTCCAATTTTATTATTCACCCAAATCCCTAATCTTAACGCCGACGAACAAGGGGTTATCAAGTGTCGATGTTAGAGGGGTTTTGTAGAGTAAAGGTTGTGGTTCAAGAGGTGGTGTTAGATTGAATTTCGGATGCTAGAATCAGTCAGAATTTGGCCAGAAAAATCAACCCAATACACAAGTCATGGTTGGCGAACTGGGGATTACCAAGTGCCGGGGTTAAATGGGTTTTGTAAGGTGGAGGTCGATGGTTCAAGTGGTGGTGTTGGATTCAATTTTTGACGTTAGAATCGGTTGAAATTTGGCTGGAAAAATCAACCCAATCGTGACAGTGTTCACGAGTCACGGCCGGCAAACTGTCACGACCGAGGGCTACCCTCTATCTTGCCATCTTCGGGCTCAAGGGCTTTCCCTGCGTGCCAGACATGTCCAAGGTATTATTCGCTATGGGTCCTTGTGGCCATGCCTCCTTTGGACCCTCACGACTTTGTTTCGCTTAGTGGCCTCTCCACCTTGTGAACGCCTCCCTCATGACTTGAACCTTAGACTTATACCTTGGCTAAGTAACATGAGTACCATTGAGCTATATAGCCAATCATGTATGCATCAACACTTAGCTTATTAGCATTAAGACAGTCCTCTTCTAGCTCTAGATGACGCGCGATATCTTCTAAAGTTTTGATGCCTTCATTGTATGTTAGGTGAATTTTCATATGTTCCCATCTATGGGGCAATGATCTAATAACAGCCTGAACCTATTGTTCATCTATCAAGACATGACCTACATCTCTCAGTTCACTTATCATGTTTGACATATGCCTTAAGTGTTGTCTCATTATACTATCAGACCTCTTCTTATAGGTGTCAAACTTGATTATAAGTGACTGGAGTTTGGTAATGGACAAACCTCCAAACTTTGCAGCAAGTGTGGACCACATGCCCTTTGTTGTCTCATATTTTATACAATCCCTCATTAAGTCATTGTCCATGATGCTCAACAACGTGATGCGAGCAGTGGAGTTCTTTTTCTTCCAAGTGTCATAGGTTGCACAGTCCCTTCTATGTTGTACCGTGTTTCCGTCCTTAGGCTCTTTCATGGATGCATATTAAGAGCCTCAAGAGTCTCTTGCTCCTCTAAAACATACTGTATTTTCATGCTCCATATCTCATAATTTTCACCATTAATTTTTCTCCTTTATTAAGTTCAACAACAATGTTCTTAGCTGCAAATGTCATTTCTAAAAACACATACACATATAATTATGCACATCATTCAATGCTCATAACATATATATATATATATATTCTCTTAACATCAATTAATTATATCAACAATAATCTCATATTAAATTTAGAATCAACAATTCACTTTTTGTCAATAATCATCATCTAAAATACTAATATTTAATCATCATTTATATGATTAATTGTGTAAGGAATTCTTATAAAGTTACAAAAACTTAAATTCGTACTCAACGATAGGCACGACAATGGGGCGGGGTGGGGATCTCATTCACCGTACCCCTCCCCGCCTTCAAAATCACTCCCCACCCCCGCCTCATCCCCGTTACATGGATGACAAGAATTCCCCTTCTCTACCCCATGGAGAATGTTGGAGGCTTGTCCCTGCCCCGTTAATTTTACATAAACATAAATTAATTTGAACATTACCAAACACAATAGTTAATTCTTGTTCACATGACAACTATTTAAATTAATCGCTTAAACATAGTTAATTCTAGAGGTGGGCAAGGGACCGATCCCTTGCGGGCCTAGACCTGGGCCCGTTTGGGACTGGTCCCAAATGGGACCAGTCACTCATGGGTCCCAAGCCCATGAGAAAAATCAGGACCTAGACCAGGCCTTAGGCCTAGTCGGGACTGGTCCCATAGGCCCAGGACCGGTCCTAGGATCGGTCCCATGGGGTTTGGATAATTTTATTTTCTCCCCTCAAATTTTTTTATATTTTGGGGGCAAAACAAAATTTTATAGGGGGTTTTTAGTATTTTTTAGGGGTTGATTAGTAAGTTTCTAAAAATTTAATTAATTTTAAAAAATAATAAATTAATAGTTAATTTTAATTTTTAACATAAATGTAATATTCACATTTCACACATTCACGCTTCACAAATAAACAATTAAATAATTTTTTTTATTAAATTATTCATCTTCAATTTCATCGTCAACACTAGTTACATTATTCAAATCTGTATTCCTAAAGAGTTCGAGTAGTTCGGGATCTTCAGGGTGCTGTTGTTGTCTTCTTTCTGCATGAGTCCAATCCCGTAAACACGTTATCACTTCAATCATCTCATCGGTTAAAGAACATCTTCTGTCTTCAACAATCCGACCACTCGTTGAAAATGTTGACTCGGATGCAATTGTAGAAACCGGCACAGATAAAATGTCACGTGCCATTTGGGATATAATGGGGAATTGACTTTCTTGTTGGTTCCAC